GGCAGTCATATGATGTCATGAAGTCCAAGTTAAAACCTTCACAACTCTCAGTGTGTTCATGTATGCTACTATTCGAGAAAGCTTAACAGCTCGAACCTTTAAACATCACCATTTTGGACTTATTCATTCTGGACAATGTTTTAATAAAGAACAAAACGTAGAGTCAATTATGGCCTCAAGTCTGTCATCTTTCAGAGTTACCATACTCATATTCTAAATTGTGTTTTAGAGTTAGCATTAATTATATTATTTACTTGGTTTTTCCCATTGTTTTGCAGCTCACTTTTCTCTGACTGAAACTCAGTTCCTGGCAAGTTGCGGAGATCATGTAATTAAGGCAGTTTCCACATCCAATTCTTTATTTGTACTCCATGAAATAGAGACAGAATATATGAAGAACTTGGACTAGTATCGAATAGCCTTGCTTGAAGCTGTTGCAGCATCTAAAAGAAAATCTACAGCTACCTTCCTGTTTGGTAACAAATCCATGCTGCGTTCATAACAAAATGGAAGACTTGCAAGTCATAATGGCCGTATTCGACTGGTCGTTCTTCGTTAAACAACGCCCACTTGAGCAGTGGTAATATCCTACTTAACGAAGAAGACCTTTCAAATAGAAAACTGGTAAATACTCAACAAAACAAAAAGGCTACATATTTACCCAAATGATATATCATGCATAACCAAGGTTTTAAAAAAAAAAATGTTTTCATCCAGTTTTTTAATTCAGTTAGCCTATAATTATTTTTTGACTTCATGTGCGTAAATGTTAAAATTTTTAATTTCTGAAATTTAATCTAAATTATATTAATGCAGAGTTGTTGCTAAACCAATTGGCCATGTTTGTTTTGGTCACGCGAATAATGCTAATTAACGCACACTGGTTTACATTAATTTTATATCTATTTTACAAACCAGTAAAATCGAAATAATACTCAACATTTGTTGTTTTGTAGTCAACAAAATGAACTAGTCAAATAAGCCCATTAACAATTTATGCAGGTGTTGTGTATGCTATCAAAAACCAGGTTCAATAGCAATGGAATTGCTCCAGAGGAGGATGAGGGGTGGCAACATAACACTATACTCTCTAGCAGTCAGGGCCCAGCCAGAGAGGAGTTGAGGGGTTTTAACACCCTCTAAAATTAATCGAAATAAACAAAAAATCCCGATAATGTAGTAGTAAAGGTAAAATATAGGCCTTTATGTATGATTTATGTATGTATTAATTGATTTATTATGATTTACAGAGGATCCCGGAGGTACTGTCCAACCAGGGCCCCCCCCCCCCTAGAATAAACCAGAAATAATTGAAAGAAATGAATAATCATAAACCTAACATACTGTGAATTGTTAACATTCTTTCATTACGCCATCTTTATATGATTGTAAATTTTATTTTCATATGTAGGCCTATAATTCGGGATTAGATCAAATTAAATATCACTATATTCTAGCTCCTATTTTGTTTTCTTGAAAAATATGAAGTTATGAAGTTGAAGTTTAACTTAAAATCAAATAAATTTTTTTTAAAGTGAATAAATTTGTTATACCTTATAGTAATATTGCACAGTATATAAACAATAAAAGGAAAATAAGTGAGGGTGTTTTAGCCTGACTTTAGTTGTACAGTATTCTCAGATGCAATGGAAGGGTTGAAAATACGGATAAACAAATAAACTTGCCCTTGAAGAAAAAATAAAAATATGGTACTTGTTTTGTTTGTTTATGTATGCTCTTTGGATTCATTTAGGATGCTGTATAAAAGTAACAATTCAGAGACTATTTAAAACTTTTATTAAAACAAGTTTTCTTGCACTTTTACAATCAAAGAAATGATTGCTGGAAAGATCACAACCACTCAGGACATTACGAAAGACTGAATGATACATTATGCCTTTTTGTAGAACAAACAGATTGGCTAATTCTACCATTCCCACTTTTGTCAAACTATTAAATAGTGAAGCCAAGTGTATTAATTCGCCTTTTTTTTTTGGGTCAAATTTATATTTTCTAGTTTTTAGATGTAGGCAATAATTCAAAATTTAATTGTATAGTACATAAGTTTTTTGTAATAAATTAACTTTGGTAGATAAGTATCTTTTTAGAATAATGCATATTTTGTAGCAATTAAATGTAAGTACAGTACTGTAATACATATAAATTTTAATTACAATTTAATACTTATAAATTTTAATTACAATTTTATATAGACTGAATTGCTTGCCTGTAATAAATTTAATTTTATGTTTTTCTTGTATAATTAATTTATAGTAAGTCATATTTATAATCCTTTTTGAAATGTTTTTGTCTAGGCCATAAATTTATTTCGTTTAATGTCTTTTTCTGCCGTTTATATTGTAAATTCAGATAAATTTCTACATTTTCTATGTTGCCTTCTGAGTGTTTTTTTTATACGAATAAATGAAATGATAACAATCTTGTATCTTATTATATTGTGTATATTGCAATTGAATGTCCTAGTACTAAAATTAAAGCAACAATTGAATTTCTTTTAAGAATGTACAAATGTGTTACTTTTATTTGAACACATGTATGAACTAATAATCCAGTCTCATAATCAATGGGAAATCTTTCTTGCATTTGGAAAGCTACAACTTACATACTGGTCTCTCAAAAGGTTCAGATTTGGTAGGGTAAAACTAATATTAATTAAGTAACCCAAAACATAAAGGGATACACCAAAACCTACAGATGCTAAATTTTAATAAATTCACCTTTCTCAACATGGCAAGATGTATAAAATTATACTTTCTAATATACATCAGATTATTAAATGACAAAACCTAAATTTAATTAAAAATTAAAACATGAATAGAAGGTATAGTATACAAAATATGATCTACAGAGCAATTACAAATAGATTAAAAGAAATTTAAAAAACATTCCACATAAACATTGAGCAAACTCATGCTAAAAGTACAGGTCTTCCTTCAATTAATTAGGCTATTTTGAGACCTGGGGTTTGTTATGATCTTTATTTTGTTTATTTTTATTTATTTATTATGTTTTCTTTATTTATGTTTAGCAGCCTTAATTAGAAAAAAATGACATTCATTTTGGGCTATAGAAAGATGGTCCTTAAGTAGAGGTGGTTTTTAATTAGAGGGAAACCCGCCTGTCTGTAAATGCTGATGCTGAGATGCAGTAATATGCCAGCCACAGGCAGGTATATGAAGTATGCCAAAACAGGCTTCGGTCATGTTCGATCTTCATAACCGCGCTACGTCTGTTTGGAGTCTACTGTATTTCATTTCGGGTATCTAGGAGGTACAAATGTATGAGGCACCATTAAGTGTAAATTTATTATTTAACACAATTATTTATATATAACTCATTATTTAACATATAATTGAATAGATCACCCATTATTTATATATAATGCATTTACGTCTAAAAGATTATATGTAAATAATTGTGTTAACCTTTTTATTATTTATATATAATTAGTTTACTGATTACATTATATATAAATAATGAAAGGCTAACCAAACCTTATTTATATATAATAAGATTACTGGCTTAATTATATATAAATAAGGAAGGGGAAACACATCATTATATATAAATAATGAAAAATAACTTACAATTATTTATATATAATAAGTTCACTGATTCCATTATGTATAAATAATGAAAAGTTAACAAATCATTATACATAAATAATGAAAAGTAACTTACAATTATTTATATTTAATAAGTTCACTGATTTCATTATATATAAATAACGAATTGACTTCAAACTCATTATTTATAAATAACTGCTTTTACATTTCATTATATATAAATAATGATTACTGGCTTCATTATATATAAATAAGG